AAGCGCGCGGAATAAAATCGAAAAACGAGCCGCATAAAAGTCAACCGATAGGTATCTTGCCTCGAACGGGATCCCTTTCCCCACCACTCTCGTGATGGCTAAGTGATCGCGTTTCACGTGCCTCGATTCCAATCCCCGATCATCGCTTTCGACGAGTTTAAAGCCCGATACATTGATTTCTTATCGAACCCGGCAAATTACTTCTGTTCGTCTTCCTTCCCTGTGTTGCAAAACGGGAAGAAAATCAATCGAGGGAGAAAAAGAGAGATGGAGTAAAGGGAGTATGGATAATCAGAGGGCAACGCTCTCAACTTGCGATGCTGGTGGCTAAGTGACAATCGTTTATGATATGTGAAATGATAACGTTAATGAATGGAATATACATCACGTGAAGCGTAAAAATTGAAGAAGATGTATAATTGTTGATTTTTTTTTTCTTACGTATCTCTTTAAAAATTGGAACAAATTAAATACAACACCGTATAATAAGATATATAACGTTGTAATTAATTTCAGCCCTGTTGTAAGGGCAACAAATAAGATTGAAAAAGAATTTCAATCTACGATTTCTAGCAATCAACGAATTAATTATTTTATTATGCTTTAATCCAATTGATATAGATGGATAGTTTTAATTCGATAGAATTAACCATCTAGGACTTCCGTTTTATCGGAAGCTGTATCGGCTATATTCATCAAGTGTTGCAGATCTAAACATCGATGGAAATAATCCGATTTAATAGTTTAGTGCTTAACACTAATGACAGCCTTGCTTCCACAGTTTCCTGCAATTAGCGCGAAGAACTTTAATCTCACGACTGACTGTCGTAATTCACACCTGCGACACACAGCCGCTCCCTATCTTATTACATTCGATACACTTTGTAATTCAAACTCGTCTCAACCGGCAATTAGCGACAAGGAATTCCATAAAATCGCGGGATTCTAGAATAAATTGCTTATCTATGCCGGCAACATGCATCCTTCGCGTGATTAACGCCCAATGAACACCTTTGTAGAATAGAATGTTAATGCTAATACGTCCTTCTTCGACGTTTCTTAAATATACTTGCTTTGAAAGAAGAGAGATAATATAATTCCATGCCCCTGTCCTATTATCACCTTTTGGCATGACGATTACGTTAGGGAACGTTTTTTTCGGTAGGGAAAATCTGATTTCCAGAAACTCGAATCTAAAATTTTACTCGAATTAAAATTCCGAAGGATATTTATCCTATCGAGGGTAAAAGTTTAAACGAACCTCTTTTATTTCTGGAAATTTTTAAACTCGATCACTTCGTGTAGATTCTTCGATCGATCGATCACCAACGTCGCAGTTATTCCTTATCGTTAATTCGAGTCGAGTCGAGAATATACGTCACGGATGCGAAAAGAAATGAAAGAAGTAAAAATTTGGTTGGAATGTTCGAGTCCAGGAAACAAAGGAGGAGGACCTGCTCCGCCGTAAAACCTTAGACCAGGCTCTGAAGGTTCTTTCTTCTTCAATTTCATCTCGCAAGATTTAATAGAGCGCGATTTGCACGCGAGTCGACCGATAATTGTGCGACGTTCACCGATGTAATTGTTTCTCCCGTGGCCAAAGCGGATTTGATGGAACATTTATCGGCACGAACGGCTTGTTTACCTTTCGACTTTAATATAAACTCATCTTGTCTAGATTTCGCTCGACTCGACACGAACCGTCTTTGTTTTCATTTTAACCAATACGACGTATTTGAAAATATATCTACGTATGTGTGTTGTTACGTATCTTCGTTGTCGATTTCGACACAATCGATATTTCTGTAAAACGTAAAATTTGATGAATACAAATGTTTAAAGAAAAAAAAGCAAAAAGAACGAGAAGGTAACGATGATCATCTATTTCGATGAACGATGAGACGAAAAAAGGAGAAAGAATATTGGAAGAAAGAGTATTAAGGAATTTTCGATGTACAAAGAGAAAATGAGGGAAATTTTAAAAAGAGAATGGAAAAAATATATAGATAAAGGTGGATAAAGAAGGTGGATAAGGAGAGGATAAAGGTCAAAGATCGGATGATTTTGAAGATAAATTAATGGAAGAAACTTCTTTGTAAATCGAAAGGCACACGGATATATGCAGATTTATCTATATGCATATTCATCTATAAATATATTTAACATAAATTAAAATTCTTTTCCAAACTTTCGCAATTTTTTAATTTGTAATTCGATTATTTGTCTCCGAATTTACACAAAATATACACAGTGAATATGTAAAGTTATTTTTTCATATACGTGTAAAATATTATAACCCAATTCCAACTGCTACTTGCAAATAATAAAAGATAAATCGGAATTTAATTAAAAGTTTTAATCGTGGGAACTTCGATTGATCTAGATGTATCGAAATTTAAATTTCCATTAACCTAATGGAATTTTAATTTAACACCTTGTATGCCGACAAGGATTCGAGTTGTATAAAACACGAAATTATTACCGAAAAATGTAAATGAAACTCTAAACGAAATCTTTCGTCTTCTTTAATCGCTATTCAACTAATGAATAAGAATCCATTTCAATACGAAACAAAAGAAAAACAATAAAAAAAAAAAAAATACTTAAAATAATTTCATCCGAACGGTAACAAAAATATATAATAATCATATATGTGAAAATAATTCTTTTTTCGATCGTTTCAAAAATATTTTTGCATTATATTGAAAAATTTATCTTAAATTCAATCAAAATAAAAAAATTATCATCATCTGTCTCTTACCATAATAAAATCATTCCTGAAAAGTTAATCTATTGTTTAATTTAATTCAATTTAATTTAATCGAATTTAATCTAAATCGAGTTTCTAATTTCTAATCAAGACCATACGTCTATAATCAACGTCTAAGTTACGGGAGCATGAAATATTGTTTACCGATAGTGGAAGAACGTCGAAATAATCTCATTTTTGCTCCGAACGTTGGTTAATTAATTCTGTTTAGTTGGAAATAGGCACGGCAAACAACTTGGACGAGCAATTAACGCCTGACCGTGGTAAAAAATCAGCGGGAGACACGGAGTGAAAGGATCGGTGTCAGCGGCGGCGATGGATCGATTGCGTTGCATTAATTGACCATGAAAATGGAATGTCACGGCTCGTAGATTTTCCAGATTAGGCATTGCCGTGACTACCGCTCGTTTCTGTCCACGAGATTATTGCCATATTCTCGCCGACGTGCCCGACAGTCATCGATGCATTTTTTAATCGTGTCACTCGTTGCGACACCAACGTGGAAAATCTGTTCGATCGCGCATTATTTTTATCCGATATTTAAATTTCACGCGAGCATGCATTTTGCATTTGTTTTACCCTCTCTTCGATATTACAATTATTTTTTATACCCTTTTCCTTCACTTGTTTCAATTTCGTCCACCCTTCTCTCTTTACTCGACACAGTTTCTTAACATCGTTAAGATTTTTGAATTTTTATACTTCTTAGTCTTAGTCGAAAAATTTTTGGAATATCATCTCTTGCATAAATAGTTTTCTATTTTGTAATGACAATTGAATCCGGAACGCGGCGTAAATTCACGCGCATGAAACATTCATCGCGCTCGAGGATAATCGAAGGAGGTTAAGCATGCGACGAATTCGCCCCGGCAAGCGTTTCAAACATTTATGGATTAACATTTTCATCACGCGACGCGTAGTTCGTGCAAGGAGAGCGGAAAAATTTATTCCATCGAGTCAAGACATGGTTGCTGTAAATTTTTTACAGAGTAATCGTAAAAAACCTTCACCGCTGTGAAATAGATTCCTTTTATTTTTATTCGAGTCGATAGAATAAAAAAAAAATCTTCGAAACGAAAGGAAATATTCGTACGGAAAATATTTGCGATATTTCGATACTTGATTTTGAATTATCATGGCCCCCGAAGAGAGAACGAGGAAGCCATTAAAAAATTTCAACATCAACGATTATAGTGGTCGTTCGTTTCGCAAAAAAATTGCAAAATTAATGGAGAACACCAGAGACGAACACCGAGTCGATGTGTAAACGGAGATTTCGCGATTACGTTTAACAGTTACGTGTTGCACACGTTGAAAAAGAAAAAAAGTTCGCAATTATAACTCGTATCAATAAAGCCTCTTTTCTTCATCTTTCTCACGAACGGAAGTTTGATTCAAGACGATGAAAGCACTTCGTGAAAGATGAGAGATAATTCATCGAACGTTTCAAACAGCTATCGATAATCGAACACGTACGTTCGATCGATTATCAAGAAATTATAAAAAAAATATATGCATACCTCTTCTTTATATAAAGATCAATATTCCTTTTAATTATCGATAATCGTAACAGGTTGCAGAATCTTGTTGAATTGATTAGATCTTCGTATCGTTATTGTTGTACGTTTGAATTCGATATAAATCGAATATAGATTCGAATAACCAACTTAACCTAAAAAAAAATTTATGTATATTGTTCGCCGAATAATGAAAAATGACAATGATTCGCTATACGTACAATCCGCACGTACAAATATCCGTGACGATGCAATATGCAAATATTCCTAATCGAATTTGCACAAAGTTAACAAGCAATCCGAAATTTTCGCGGGAATGATCATCCTAATAACAATTTCCTCGTTATTGCATCGTTCACACTCACACCTACACTTCTACTACTACCTACTATACACGAAATTCATCGCAGAGCATTTTATTCTTTTTCGTGAATTCACGCACGAGAATGATTTTGCCTTTCTTTCTCTCCAACGAGCTCATACGCGCGCGTGCATGAATTATTTATACTCACGTAGGCAGCTTGTTTACAACGTGGTCGCGATATTTCGTAGGTAGAAAGAAAAGGGGAACCGTGGAGTCGCACGTTTCCGACAAAAATGCCTGCTTACACGATCCCGGCCGGTTCTAATTATACAATCACGCAATTTGTACGTTCACGTGCGATTAAGTCGTTAACTTTTATGGTGGGCAACGGAAAAATTAAGAGACTTACCCTTTCTCCCGAGGTACTGATTTTTGAACAGGCCGATTTTCTTTATTTTATCGTCGTATTTTACGCAGGCCGAACGACCGTATCCACAACGCGACGACAACGATTACCAAGCTACTTATTGCGTATACCGAAGATCAGTCACGTGATTGACATTGATTATTAAATTCGACACCAGATGGTACACTTTCGCGTTGCGTCATTCGTTTGCGCGCGTACGAAATAAAGTGAATCTTCTCTGGCTTTGGTGGTTCGTTATTTAGGTCAACTTCACCAATGGATTTCCGATACTGTGGATTACCATTTTCTTGTTCCTTTTGCCGAGACATCGATCGCTTGCCTGGAACATGAACCCGATGAAAGTAGCCGGTTCATCGACTCTGATGTATCAAGTGATTTCCCGTTACGGAACGAAGCACGAAGCAGCTTCTTCGGTAAGTCAATGCTCTCAATGATCTTGTCAAATCTCACTTTTCCACCTCTTGATTATCTTGCATTCTATACGTATATATGGATTCGACCGAAAAATTAACAAAATGGATTATGGAGAAAAATGAAATTTTTACGAAACTTTCGAATCGATTAATATCATAATAAATTTCATAAAATAACGATGCATTGCGTTCATCTTGCTCGGTATATTGCCTTTAAAATATTTCCCTCTTTATCGCATCTATTTAAAATTAATATTTTTCGTGCAAAATATAATATAATTTCTATTCACGATTTTGGGGGAGCAAAAATTACAGAGAAAAAAGTCAATTTTATATTTTTAAATTAATTATATATATATAATATATATATATAATTCTTAGCCACGTGGATCATAGAGGGCGTTTCTGGGAGGTAGGAGCGAAGGAGGGGCAGACTCAGTGGGTGTACAATATACAATGCAAGCCACGGAATATCACGGATTCTCGTGTTAGTTTAGAACGTTTCGATTCTCCTCGAGTTACACTTGTTCTTTTTTTTTCTTTTTTTTTTATTCATTTATTTTATTGCTTTTCTCTCGACAACGTGTTTTTCTATTTCTCTTCCTTTCTCTCTCTTTCTCTCTCTCTCTCTCTCTCTCT